CGGGGCAATAATTAGTATGTTGATAAAAATGGTGGCTACCAAGCAATAAAGTAATTTAGAAAAATGAGAGATAGAATCCAATGCATTTATTCCTCGTTAATAATTATTTTTGCCGGCCGGTTCCCCTTTATTAATTATTTTAACAGACAGCTCCTCCCTTCTACTTTATAATTACATAAATCATACATGCTTTCAGAAATTTCAATTCACGCATCAATCAGCCCAGAACCTGATAATTAAATCATTAAATGTTAATCCCAAAATTTAAATTAAGTAATCAAATACTAATAAAATTTATTTAAAAATTAGAAAGTCCGTTCTGTAACTCTCTTCTTCTTACTCCCTTATTCTCAATTGTACATAAATTTAAAATTTAAAAAAGAAATTAATTTAAGAGTTCTAGAGTTTCAAATATGTCCGGCATCTATAGAAACTTGACAAAACTCCCTTAATAGAATTCCAAAGTCGAAAGGGAAGGAATCAGTTGTGTCGTGAGAAGACAACTGCTAGTTGATAGCTTATGGCTTGTTTGGCTGAAGCTTTTTAGTTTATTAATCCAGTTTGCCACCACTTGTTGCGTATCCATATCCCCATACATTGTATCCTGCCATGGATAAAAGGAGAATTTACGATCAACAATTGTTTGGCTGCCCTTAGCACGTGTGAAGGATGTTGCCCATGTTTAAAAATCTGGAAAAAGGGATATTATATTCTCTTTATTGAAGAGAACACAGGGGAGATGCTTTCCCCAAACTACACCACCCCCCGGGTTTGATAAAAATTTGACGTATGAGGCACATTCTTAGTTGTTATTTTAGTAAATATTTAAAATGTGAAACCCGTTTTTTTCACAGGTTTGATGATTTAAAGACGAGGTATTATGAGAATAAGCAAAAGGAATGAAACATGATACTATGAGTTGACAGGATAAAAATCATTAAGAGGAAAAAATATATCAAAAAATAAGAAGAAATTTGCAGATAATAAATTATCCCACCTTGTATTATTCTTCCCTTGCTTACATATTTTAATTTTTGGAACTTTTAGAAGTCATCTTTTTACAATTTCAAAAGTACATGTTTTTATTTCTAAAATTATAATCTTAGAAATAAATAGTGGTTCTAGAGTACAAACTCCAAAAATTAAAATAGTTTGGTCTTGAAACTAAGTACAACTTCTATATTATGTTCAATTTCTGAAATAAACTGTTCCACTTATATTTAAAATAAAAAATTTTATTGTATACAATATCATATAATAATATGTATTTTATTATACAGTAAAATATAAAATATAATATATTACGTATATTATATTATATTATATTAAAACATATAACATATATATATATACATATGTATATGTACATATAATATATATTATACATTTATGCATATAATATATAATTTTATTTAATATATTATTTTATATGTTATACATAAATACTTATTATACACATACACATACACATACGCATATAATGTGTGTGTATTAATATATATATATATATCATTCATAATATTTTAGTTATTTTTCACTTTAATTTTTTACATTTAAATATCGTCAATTCAGTCCTTATAACTTATTTAATTTATTTTTCCTTCATTTGAATCTCTAATGTTCTATTTTTTTACATAAATATTTGTCTCAAAAATAATATATAAAAGAACACAATTTCAAAAATATATCTAAAAAATATATGATAAAAGAACAGTATCTCATTATTTCTAAAACACTATACCCTAAAAGCATGTATTAGTTTTAAAAATATGTATTTTTAAAGTTAAAAAAGAACAATCTCTTATATTTTTAAAATTACTAATAGTTGAATTTGAATCAAATTAAACAAATTTGAATGTGATAATCTAATTTCATACTCGAATGCTATTCAAGATCCTAAAAAATCTGTATTTGTTAAATTATATCCAAATTAGATAAAAAAAAATTGATTCGATAAGAAAATAATTCTTTTACATTGAAATTTCTTAAGCCTATTTTATTAATCATATTAGTTCATGAAAATTTTTAATTTTCTTAATTTAATTTCTACAAGTTTGAATTTATTAAAATTGTATATAATATTTATAATTTAGTAAAAAAATTATTAAAATTTAAATTTGAATATTAATTAATCAGATTACTTAATTTCATATTCAATCCACTTATTTCGAATTATAAATATTTATAATTAAATCTGATCTACTGAATATTTTAATTAAATTTAAATTCTAAAATTTAAATATAATTCGAAATAAAATTCAATTTATTAACGTCCTCGTGTTTTTTATTTTAACATATTTATCAAAATGCCCCTCAGTTCCTTACTTTCAATTACATTACAATTATGAAAATAGGAGTTCCCAACAAACACTTAATTTAGGAATATTTAATAATCAGCTTATTTTAGGTTTGATTTGAATTTTAAACTCAAAAAATTAAAAAATTTAAAATTATAGTTTCTCAGTTTTTGAGTTTAAACCCAAAAAATAAAAAAAAGTTTAGAAAACTGTGACTTAAAAACAAGTTAGATTTTTTTAACTTAAAAAAATAAACATAAACTTCAAAAAATAAAATAAAAACGATGTTATTTATTTTAAATTTTTTCTAATTTTTTTTAAAAAGATTTTTGTGCTACCTCTAACAGTGGGCTTTCGCTCTTAAGGAAATGCCATGGCTTTTAGAATTCCACTATGAGAAGTTTTAAATATGTATCAGGATTGGGCGTACAACCGATAGATAAAATTCAGTTAAAAACGAGTTTTATGGTACGTAGGAAATATTAAATGACTGATAAACTATTTCAGTAACAAATTTTAGATTGACAAATAACGCTTAAATTTTATTCTCACCACCTCGCCTCAACTCTCTAGAATGTGCTACGAAATATTTAACCTACATAAAATTCGGAGCACATTCTGGAAAGCCAGAGGCCGAGGTCGAGTATCTGTGTACAATGTTATTCGTGTCGATGCTTTACATGTTAAAGACAATTAACTGTATTAATATTGTATGCCTACTTGCCATGTAACAGGAGTATCGGTGGTTTGATTTGTTGTTTAAATTCAATATAAATTATATTTTTATAATTTATAATTTTTATAAATTAAATTGAATCATGATTTATAATTTGATACAGTTTTAAATCATGATTTATGATTTATAAAATAAAATAAAATAAAATAATTATTTTTATAAAAATTTTAACAGAATTTTTCTTAAATTAGTGATTTATTTTTTCTAACATGTTTAACTTAATAAATTAATTAATTATAATAATTATATATTTTATGATAAATATTTTTATACTATTTTACAGAATTTTACTATTACTAATAAAAATTACATTTTTTTAAAAAAATAATCAATTATTATAATGAATATAAATGTAAAAGATAACAAAAAGAAGGAATATACAGTCAAATAATAAAAATACTATATATATAGATAAAATTTTTAATTTTATGTATATATAAATTATACAATTTAATTTAATTTATATAATTTATTTATATATTAAATATAAAATTAAATTACGCTATACAATTTAATTTAATTTATATATAAAGTCTAATCGATTTGATTAACTTCTTCTTACACCCAACCATGCAATGCGCTTTTCCATCACTTCTATAGCTAGATTCTTGTTGCCAGCAACTTAGCCAAATTTATCAGATTGCGTTTCAGAACATAGACTGTAACACAGTGTAAAACTCCCCAACCTTCAAAACTTCCCCAGATCACAAGTCTCGGCGAGTAGCATCTGTCTGATTAAGCCGCAGGAGAATGGCGTTCATGACCTGTTATCCCACCCAACGCAGCGTCTCCAGCGATGGCAAACTCGAAATGACCCTGGAGGAGATCAAGCAGTGGCTCAAGAAGTTTGACGCCGACAAGGACGGCAGAATCAGCAGAGAAGAGTTGAGGGAGGCCGTCCGTAGCGCCGGCGGCTGGTTCTCCGGCCGCCGTAGAAGGTTGGGTTGCGGTCGGCCGACGCCAATGGCAACGGCTTCGTCGACGACGGGGAGATCAACAGGCTTCTGAAGTTTGCTCAGAAACACTGAGGGTGAGGATAGTGGCATTCTAGAAGTGGCATGTTGACAAGACTTGATTATTTCCGAGCTTGTCCAGAAACTAAACCTTCTTGTGTGCAGTATCTTTCATTTCATTCTTTGGGTGTTCTGAGGGACTTTGAAAACAGTGCTTCTTTGGCACCCACATGGGTCTGGGAGGCATACCCAGAAAACTGATCAGACTGTTGAAGGTCTGATGTTCCCTTTAATAATTTGGGTAAATAACATTTTGGTTCCTGTAGTATCATGCTGATATGATTCTGATTTTTATAATTTTTGTTATAATATTACAAAAATATGCCAAATAAAAATAATAAATTTTCATAACTCCAATTTTGACGTACAAAAAATCTCTATTTCGTCCAAAAAATTTTGACCTCATACAATCCAGAAGTGGCAAAAAATCTTTGCCAATTACTAGCATTATACCCTTCATTTCTTGATATATGCAGAAACTAAGTTCCTGTTTTAGAAATTAGATTTGCAATCTAGATAGTGATGGAATTGAATCACGTGGGTTGAACTGAAGATTTCAGAAAGAAAATGCACAAGAGAAACATAGAAGTGGTATATCTATTGATCGATAATGAGAAATAAGTTTAGTTAGCCTCCAAATAATTATACACCATGCACTATACATATTTCAGCGCTCAAGGCATCCCATGAATATACTCTGTACAAAATCACAGGCGGACTTGACGTGGGAGGACTCGGATGATTTATATAAGCGGATTTAATCCATTAATTCACTGCAAGTACCAGCCATGCATTAAATGAGTTTTTATTGCCAAAAAATCACCCAGTTCAGCTTCCAGCTTTGAAAGAGCAGAACAAAAGCAGGTCAAAATCATTTGGCGTGTCTCATCATCTGAAACTTTCCCGTACCCATCAAGTGACAGGCCCCTTAGAATGGAATTCTATCATCATCTAGACGATTCTTCGGCCCAACACAACACCCTATATCCACAATCAAACTCCAATGTTAGGATAGGAATGGGAAAAGGAAAGACACAGTGAAACAGAAACACATTTATATGCAGAGCTTCAATTCAGATTTGGTTCAAAATGAACATATCCCCACTAGTTACCACGGAATCTCGGTATATATCCAATAATCTAATGGCCAAAAAAATGCTGTCTACTACTTCTGAAATGTTAGGAATTCATTCTCATATGATAGGTTCAATTAAGTAATATCTAGTTATCTTAAATTGCTTAAAATGGAGAAGAAATTGAAATATATCATGTCCCGATATGATTAGAAATAGAAGTCCAAAATGTCTATGAATTACCTGAATAACTCTTGCAGGGCCAAACCATTTCTAACGGGTGAAGCAATTACATCCTCCTGGGACCTTCATTGTTCAATAGCAGGAAGGGGCAGTCTCCAGAAATTCCATGAATTAAAATCCTCCTGCGGAATGAGGAGAAGAAATCAGAAAAACTCACTCAGCTAGCAAAAGAAATCAGAATAAAATAGGTGGGAAGAATGTAGAGAGGAAGCACAACAGAGGATGGATTGGATAGCAGTTCTCAAAACAACCTTCGAGTGGAAGTCTCAAAACGGCATCCCTCTGTTTTTCTCAAGTTCATATTTCCTAAATTTTTTTAGATAGATAAGATAAAGAAGGGTGTAAATGTTGACAAACAAATCTTGATTGGAACTTCATCCTTGGTTTGTGAAATAGCACACTTCTGGTAAGATTTTAATGCCAAGAAAAAAAATAAATTGTTCCAAATAGGAAACAAAATATAAGAAATAATAGAAAACCTGCTCAGATGAGGATTTGGGAGGAAAAATGTCATGCACAAGATCATGAAGTGAACTATAAGATTTTGTGTTAACAAGGCGGTGCCAAGCAACCTCCCCCTGCAAGCCCAATTGAAAAGTTACGGTCAGACATGGAACTTCTTATATGCAACTAGATTAAACTTTTTCAGAATTACCTTTGGATTAATGGTGAAAAATCTTTCCTTTTGGGATTCCAACCTTGAGGTAGCTAAACTCATCTGTGTCTCTATTCCAAAACCAGCATAGAATGGATTGTAATCAGGAGGAAAACACGCTTTGATGTCCTAGAAAACCAGAAAACTAAAGGCTTGAGTCTCTCCTCAGGCAAAAGTACACAAGTGCAGCATACCAACTATGAACCAACCTCTAAGCAAGCAATTTTGAATTCATGAGGAGCTCTTCTGATAACTGCAAAAATATGAATAATCTCAGAGTACATTCAATGTAGAGAAAAGTAATGTAACACCCAATCTAGAACTCGAAACTCTCCCACCCTTTACACATTTTAAAAGGCAGGTATTAAGCAATTTTTCAGACGTTGTCAAGAAGTAATAATTGATTTCCTGTCTCAGAAAATAGACCAAGCAATAAAAATATGTGAGATGAATGATCAACTACGATCAGTCCTTTAGGACAAGCAGAAACTGCACGCAGTATAGCTGAATATGCAAGATAAAGATTTCAAAATCCACAAGCTAAATGACGCCATGACTGAGGGAAGTAGATAGATAAGGACCATGCAGCTAATCAATAAATCAACAGCTAAGATTTATTGGTCTCAGAAGCCAATTGACAACTTTTGATACTGCAAGAGGCTATAACATGACAAACAAGCATGTGTACAATCACAAATAAAATAAATTTTATCAAACTTTTAAGCAAGACAAACAGACAAATAAAACACACAAAAGATAGATCCAGTGCTGAACCAAATACCTTCTCGAAATAATGAGGGAAAGAGCCCATCTGGGGAAATAACAACAGGCCCATCTGGTAAAGCTTTTCCATCCTGTGAAGATGATAAATATATTACTTGTTCGATGATGTAGACAGTACTTTTCCATTGGAGCAAAAACATACAATAAAAGACAAAGAAAAGGAAAAGAAAGAAGATCTAGACAGCCAACAATGAAATACTTTCACGACTCGTATTTCTAATATAACCCAGTTACCTGTTTAAGGTTAAATAGGAATTGCCTAGTGATATAAGCCTGAGAGATGGCACGTGCACTTAGAAAAAGTAACTGATACCCATTTTCCTGCAATATAGGATTGGATGAGTTGACAGAAATCTCTAACAATCTTGTCAGGAGTGTTATACAACTAATGTTTAATAGAAATTTTTATGTTTCTCAAAATCCAGGACACAAGTAGCTGAGGAGAAATAAAGCGCCGGAAATCCAGTTTTGTGAATCTTTAAAGCAAGATGCACTAAGGTAAATGATTGCATAGATTTTTGGATAACTACATGCTTGTATGCAAATGTTTTATTTGGACAAGAGAGTAATGAATTGCAATACAAACATCATCTTATATTGAAAAATTAAGGATTAAAAGTTACAAGGAGATGAAAGAAACCTTAATAGCAGAAAATAGACGGGTAAACCAGTCTGTGACCAGTCCATTCCAACCAAAGGCATGAATTGTCCTAGAACATCAGATCTGGAGAAAAGAAGTGTACATGGAAACAGGCAATAAAGAAGCATTAGACAAGCCCAAGCAGATACCTCAGCCTCCATGCAGGGATTACTATAGGAAAAGAATGCACATGCAAAGAGTCAAGTAACAACTAATTACTAGAGGAAAAGAATGTACATTCGAAGAGTCAAGTAACAACTAACTTGAGAAACAGTGAAGAGACTATCCACTGAAATCAATATAAACTAGGGCTGTCAATGGGTTGGATTCGGGTTGGATCATGATAGATCTGGATTTGAATCTGACAGTAGTATATTATATATGAATCCGATTATGGATAGTTGTACCCTATCAGTTGAACAATGTTTAACAACATTCCAGTCCAACGAATTGCCCCATCCACTGCCACAGTTCTAATACAGGTATATTACAATATAAATGCACTCTCACACCATGCCTTGAGGTATGACATCTCTCACTTGGCAAGAAAGAAAAATATGAGCATTGCAACAGGTTAATCTCTTTTGTTGAGCCAACAGCTACAAGCACGCTTGGGGAACAAGAAAGGAAGAAATTTGGACTTTATACAACCTAATAATAGCAAGAATAATCTTACTTGGTAATTGTCCCGTCAACATCTGAGATGACTATGCGAGTGTTCCATTTCCACAAAAAGATTCTAGCATCAACCTGTTAACCATATACCTCAAGTTATAGGGCACAGATGTACAGATGGACATGCACAGACACAGACACGCACGTGCGCACGCACACACACACACACATAGAGAGAGAGAGAGAGAGAGAGAGAGAGAGAGAGAATCAGCTAAAACTAGCGATTGCATGAAAAAAAAATGCATAATAAAATACCTGCTGTGTCCCCAGCATTGATGTTGAGAATGTAAATACAACTGTATTCATCCCCTCCTTCAGATTCAAGGATGCAAGCTGTTCAGAGGTGGGGTGAGTGACTTCATCTCTTTCTTATTTGCCTTGGGTTTAAGAACATTGTTTTCCCCGTCCATGACAGTAAAGCTCTCTTGAGAATTCTGAACAATAGAACTTTCAGCAGAACCTTGAACTGGCTGGCTGGCTTCCGTGCTTTTTGATCTTCTCAATGAAAAAGGCCAGACTCTCCAGCTATCATTAGAGGAATCAATTGATTTGGATAAATTACCTGCAAAAGTTTTTTCAACTCAGTCAATGGGATTCATGCTTTTGATTCAAATATACATTTTTCCAATTGAGAAATAAAATCTAAGCAGAGCTATTCCAAGAATGAATTCATCACCATAAAACCAGGAAATATGGAATGAACATGACCAAGAAGTGCAGGGAAATGGAATTACATATTTTTCCAAATACCAAATTGAGTAAGCATACATGGTGTACCAGGTGGAATAATTTTATTTTCTGTCTATTCCACAAAAAGCTAACAAATATGTAATGTAAACCTATAAATGGCATATAAAAGAAGTAGTATATTACCAACTTGTGGTGCCTGTGCTTGGGATGACTTCCCTTCATTGTATAAATCAGGCTCAGCACAGATTGGATTATCATCTCTCAATGGAAACCACCTTGGCGAATCAGAATTTGAATCAAGAGAATGGCCTAAAGGATGACGTAGGTTTTGTACATCCAAATCCTTCAAGGGAGACCATAAATCAGGTAAAGATTCAGCCATTCTTCCAAGGTCCTCCCCAAGAAGTTTATCACCTTTAGGAATATCAATGTGATCTGACACTATTGTTGACTTCTGTTTTAGGTATTCAACACCATTTTCCATGTTTTCTTGAGTAAAATCTATAGAAGCTGAACAGGACTCAATAACTGCTTCACTGCCTTCCTCAGTGACTGATAGATTATTTGAAGCAATTGATTCCACATACTTATCATTCCTAGCACTAAAATCATCAATATCACCAAAAAGAAGTTGCTCCTCCTCTAACCCTTCAATATTTGAAGAATAATACAGTTTGGTCATGCTATCTTCACCTCTTTTGTAGTCTTTATCTTCTACTTCAGAACTTGTGCCACTCAGATGAGAAATGGTGCTAATAGCACAAGACTCAAACTTCTTGAACTGAAACATTTTCTTGATCAAGTTTCAACACTTGAGTATGTGTTTCAGTGACAACATTATTAGCAAATGAGTTTGAAGAAGTTTCATCGTTTTGAAAAGCTTGAACTATATCTCCTCCACTCTTTTCATCAGATACATCACTGCATGGTAAAAAAACTTTCCTCTTGAAAATTCAGAGCACTCTCTTCATTATCTGCATTATCCAAACCTGTTTCACCTGACATTTCAATAATATGGGTAGCTCCTAAACATGACATTTCAACACCAAAATCCTTATCAGAAGGGCCCGTTCTCAAGCCCAGCCTAGAACAAGATATCATTCTATTGTCCGGACTATCTATTTCTTCATGCAACATAACATCTACTTCTTCAATCTTACGGTCTTCCCTACTCGGTGTACCTGGAGCAGAAATCCATGACACACTATCTTTCCTTTGGTGTCTACTGGAAGCAAGATTTGTAGACCACTTAACATCCAAAAGGTCTGCCGCTATCTCAGCATGTTCCAATGATGCTGTCCTAACTTCACCTCTATTTTCTTTAGCGGACTTCCTGCCAAAAACAAGACCCAATATTCGAGACCTTCGTGAACTCGTCCTAGCCACAATCTGCCCATTGCTGATATCCCTTTTAGTCTCCTGGCCCGAAAATGAAGGGTAAAATTCGGAATCATCTTCATCACCATTCTCCTCCGGCAGAAAATAGGCTTCACCTCTTTGATCCAAATACATATGAAACTTGGCTTCAACACCATTGACGTTTATGTGGACCACCTTCTCTTTAGCCTTCAAAACCCCTTGAAATTTCCCAAACCTAACGTACCAAGGTGAGGATTTGAAGCTTCCATCAGGTTGTTCGACAACAATTATATCTACGGCACCCCCAAATGGATGTAGGGAACCAGAAACGGTATAACCCCTCTTGAGATGTAGCTCCCAAGCCTCCCCACAGCGTACATCCTCCAAGAAAATCGAATTTCTCTTCTCACAGCCTACAAAGCCTCTGAATTACATACAAAATTTATAAAAAAACACCTAATTGACGGCCTGGAGAAATTGTAACCCTTTTAGGTCATAAGCTTTTTCCCTCTACTCAACAAATCAAATTCACATTCAAGAACAAGAAGATCACGTAGCGCAATTAATGATCAAAATTGAATAACCCAAATTAATTACATTCTGAAAACGCGACACAGATAGAGCGACTTCAATTCAAGGAAAGAAATAAACAGGGATCAATCCCGTCAACCCCAAACAGATTCATATAGGCCCAGACCCAAATTCAGAGAAAAAAAATTAATAGATTAAAGAAAAAAATTTTAAAACCAGCTGGAAAAATATAAGCGAAAAAGGAAACCTCGAAACGGCGAACCGCCAGACAAGGAGGGTCAAAGAAAATCTGTGAGAAGAAGCATATTCGGTTTCATACTCCTCGAATGTGCCAAAAACAAAACAATCACGGAGAAACTACAAAGATAATGAGTCGCTGGTATAAAAAATGGATTTGTAATTTTTATAGATTTAAAAAGAAAAGTCAAGGTGGAAATGGTCTGGAAGAAGAGGACAGACCTGGAGAAGAGAAGGCCGCTCTTGGAGGAAGCAACGGCCTCAACAGTTTTTTCTCTCAGTCGAGATGAAAACAGAGTGGGAAAAAGAAACATGGGGGAGACGAGGAGTTTGTTTTCTTGGAAAAGTCGATCGAGAGATTGCGTGGTGTCGTGACTCGTGATACGTCAGATGGATGAAATAAGCGGCTTACTCTTCCCTTCCAAGAAATTATCATATGGGACGGTCATTTTCATCTTAGTGTAGGAAATTGATTATTTTTTTGAAGTATAGTTTCTAGGATGATTATGCGTCTAATAATAAAACAAAATAATTAAATTATTGTCATTCTGTCATTTAAAAAATAATGTACACAGGGAGATGTGAAGGCTCTTAGGCTCTTACTTCATTATCAATTCTGGCCCAGTCAGAATTGAAATAAGTTCAGCAGACATCAATTTTTTTAAATCTACATCAACTTTGAAAATTATTTTTTTTATTATTCCATAATTCCAAAATATGTCATAAGCAAAAGTTCAATATGCTTACACAGAAATTTCAACCAAATTATAAAAGTGAATTCGTGTAACTACGGTTTGACTTGTACTGTAATAATTTCTTTTTTTTTTTTAAGAAAAGTGTCATTTTATTCTCCTTTAAATTATTTTTGTTCAACTAATATATATAAAAAAATGTGTGATTACAGTTCTGGTGTATTAGAATAGCTATATAAAGAAAACGCCGCCGTTTCAGTCTTTTCTTCAAATATGTAATCTAGCTTAAATGCAATAGAAAAGGGATGACTTGAGAAGTTAGGACAAAAGTAAAAGGAAAAATTACTAGGAAAGGCAACTCGATGAAATTAATTATTTGAAGGATTAAAATAAAAGAATATTTTTAATTAGGATTAAAAGAAAAAAATTATTTAACTAAAAATATTTATATTTCGAAAATATTATATTATTATATTTGTAATAATTATTATAAATACATATCCGTATATTTATAATTATGAATTTGTTTAATAATAAACATGCAATTTGTTATTTGTTATTACACAGATATATGATTGTAATTATGCAAATATATATTTGTAATAATTATTATAGAATTTATAACTGTATCAAAACATACATGTAATTTATATATATCTAAACTTATATAAATACACAAATATATGTTTGTAAATATATATATATATTTGTGACAGTTATTAAAATATTTTTGTAATAAGAGTATTTTTAAAATATAAATATTCTTAATTAAATAATTTTTTTTTTTAATTTTTGATCAAAGTAGAAATGTTTTATATTTAAACCATCCAAATAATTAAATTACCAATTCATCCCAATCAATAATTTTCCCAAAATAAAAAGGGATTGCCAGTGAAGATGTTAACATGACATGCTTAACATGCAATGTTAAAGTACATCAGGGATTAGGAAACTAATTGATGAAGGGAAATTTGGCAATGTCTACTT